GTTATGCGAATTCATCGCTAAACGAGGCAATCGTTAAGCGAGGCACCACTGTATATCACAAACATGTCGGCGAAGGACTTCACATTCCAGTGAATGCACCATCTAGCTGACAAAAGATATGGCCTTGTGTATCTTTACTAACCTTAAAGCCTATGTGCTGTACAAAGCCACTTTCTGCATGCATATGCAGCAGTTTCTGCTTCTTCAGCTTTTTTAGTTCAAGCAACTCTTTGTATTCTGGTAAATCTCGGTATGCTACAGGAATACTTTCTTCATCCTGTTAAAAAAAGGGTGAGAGAAATTTAATTTGGAAAGTTACAGAAACAGCATGGGGGGGAAGGATGTCAGGAAAGTCATAAATTAATAACATAATTATAATAATAAAAATCCATTGCCAGATGATTAAAGGCAGGTATTTTACAGCAAGTAATTTATTTACCTGAAAAATGCAGTGAAACAGCCATTAGCATATATTTTGTCATTATGTGGTACAGCAATGAATGTACAGTAAATATGGTGAGCATATTTCATAGTTCTGTGGAGGTTGCAGTTTTCAGGCAACTCAAGGAAAGTTTCTTAGGATTTTTAGGTGACAAGATGGACAACTATCCATAAGCAGAAGAACTGAGCCAAACCACACATATTAAACGTTTGTTGGCATTTAATGTGCGTGTTTCTTTAAAAATAAATATGAATAGCTCCATGGGACAAGCAGATGCTGATAACAACTGTCAAGGTTAGAGGAGGCCAGGATGAATATTTAACTTTTCCCTTATGTGCTTAGTTTCCAAGAAAATTCCTTTTTCTAAAGATGCTATCTGCAAGGAAATCCCATGACACCAATAGATTATTTCTACCCACAGCAAATGTCAGCTTCAGAAAAGAAAAGCTTTTCCACTTTGAATTCAAGCATGGGATGAAACAATGTTCACCACTTCCCTTTCTATGTGTGACTTCATACTGACTGGGGGGGCATGTAATTTATATAAATGTAATTTTGGCATTTACTTTTCTGAACATTGAGAACAAAAATTAGAAAGAACTAAAGCATGGAAATAGTCTCACAACACCCCCCCAAATGAGTCAATTAATCAATTCTACAATTAAAAGGCTAAGTCTGACCACTACATCTAGTGTAAAAAAGATAAAGGAAACAGGACAAATTTTTAGTTCCTGAAGCCCACATAAATGTGCTAGGCGTTACACCTGGCAATAGGCAATTATCTCATTCAGTTGTGTAATCAATCATGCAATTCCCATTGCCATACGACAAGCCAGGGGAGAGGATTTTCCCCAACAGTGTGACTAAGAATATTGAATACAAGTAGGGAGAAACTGGAACAAGTCCTACCAAACAATCATGTGTGATTTTACATCAGTCACTTTAACCCCACCTCAGAGGTTATTGCAAGGATAAAATGGGAGAAGACTTTATAAGCCTCTTCCAAGTCCTGAGAAGACAGACGGAAATTTCTTGTAAGATGGGATGAACTTATCCTAGAATAAAATGTCTGCACCTGCAACTCAGCAATGAATTACTTGGTTCTTCATCACTCTTTAAATGTACATTCTCTCAACATTGTTATAACTGGTATCAATAGACATATCTGAATATCTAATGTGCTTTTACTGATGCTTATAATGCATAATTAGTGTGCAAAAGTATTTCTCTTACTTCAGTCTACCCAGGAGACATACGCCCTGCTGCTTTCCCACCCATCTTTTCTCTTTATCAAAAATACACTGCTTGGCCACAGAGGTGGAATATCGCATCGTCTACTCTGCCCCCCCCCAAATAAATAAATGAGTAATAGGAACAAATAATTTTAAAAAAACCTTCTGCATGCACACTTCCAGAATTCATATCTCTGTTCAGAAGCAATTTTGGTGAGGATGCAAGAGAGGCCCCTTTCTGGCTGCTGCTCTCAGGCTGTCCAACTCTGTAAAGGAAGGCTAGGTTGACCACCTCCCTGTTATCCTAGCAAACAATGACCTTTCTCATCAGGCAGGCTCTTAGGAACAACATCGGGTACTTAAGAAGGAGTTTGAATAAGGGGTGCTATATATCTTTAAACTGTGCTGAAATTCTATAATGCAATGTTTATTTTAACATATGTTTAGTACGATTTTAATATAATTTTTGTGAGGTTTTAATAACTAGTAAGCTTGTAACTGAGAGAAAATGCAGTATACAGCAAAATGATAAACTAAAGAACCCCAACAAAAACAAAACAAAAAGAACAACCAACAAACATTTAGCTCACATAAAACAGCTACACAATTTTCTAAAAAGAAATGTTCATCATTATGTTTGGAATAAAACACAAATGATATAGTAATTGAGCAAAGAAATTCATCTAATCTGATTAGTCATTATCTGAGACATGTCTCTTTTCAAAAAAATCACAGAGAAGAGGAAAGTGAGATAGTGACTTGACTAAGGTTAACCACACATACAAAAATAAATAAATAAAAATAAAAAATTTGAATTAAATTGCTTGCTGTATCAGAATTTTCACCTGGCCTCCATTCTTCTTAATCAGGGGTTACCCTTAATCAGGGTTTACCACATGCAGTAAACAGAAAATGCCCATAATTGTTAGAATGTTCTCATGAACTGATATGTAGGTTACCAGACTGAGTTACATGTCAAAAATACATTTATGTCTTGGAAGCTCAACTCTCTCAAGAAGGAAAAAAAACATAACACATCAAGAAGACAGAGATGCACCCAGCACAAAACAAAGTTTCCAGTTTATAGTACAGTACTGCCTAATTCAGATTTTTCCAACCACCAAGTAACTCAGTTTACCACAAAGAATGCATAAACATTAAATATTAACAAACAGTATTAGAATTACACCAGAATCCAAACAAAGTATTTTTTGAAGACAGGGACTGCTAGGATAAAAAGACAACTGAACACTAATGCTCAGGCTTGTACTAATCTATACTTTCATCCTTTCACCTGGTAGCAGACTTTAATCATCATACAGCAGGTATTTCACTCTGCAGCTCAGTTAGGGCTGCTATAGGAGTATATGTTTATTTTTGCTTTGGACTGAACTTTGCTACTGGAACAAAATTCCAATGCTGCTCTGCTAGCAGCTCTGCAGCAAAACCCTAAGCTGCTAATGCTCTTAGGCTGTTTTTGTAACCTACAAGAAAAGCCAGCTGTTCCTATCATCCTGCTAGAAATGATGGCTGGGATCCAAGCCAAAATAAAGCATCACGTTGTTAACACATAGAAACTTTTAAGCTCTGTCACATAAAACTGACTTACACAGTGACATCATTGGTCTATCTAGCTGAACACTGTCTACACTGATGTCCCACCTGCTCTTCAGCCCTTTTCACTGTACTTTCAAGGGACTGAATTGGCTGTTAGGTAAATGCTGCAGGGGGGAAAAGTTACCCAAAAATTGCAGCACACAGAATCACTTCATTTCATGCTGAAGAACCTACTTCTATTACCTACACAGATTCTTTTTGAGCTTCCATGTATTTTCAGCGTAACCATGTACACCTTATTTTCAATATCTATTTACAGTTAAAAAACACACCGATGGCTCCTCATCTGCTGCATTAGCCATATGACTGTGAAAACTGGATCTGTCATCATCTTCATCCATATATACAGGAGGTTCATGAGATGTCATGAAAGTTGAGGGCTTGAAAAGATGTTTGTTCAGAGGATGTTGCCGTCTACCGGAGGACTGCAACAGAAATGAAAGGAAACTATCAGTTAGATGATGTTAACAGAAAATCAGGATCATACCATTGGTAAACCATCACAAAACTGGATTACTTTTTTAACGGCTTTTAAAAAAAAAAACAAAAACTGCACACAGTTTCTAATTTTCAAATTAAGGATATTCTCTACATTGTGCCAAAGTATTATGAAACAAGTTATATTTAAATAATGGTTCTTCTCTCACTCATTCAGAAAGGCTGATTAAATAATATAAATGTGAATAATTGGCATTTCTTGAAAAGGTTTGTCTTTTGCAGTAACAGCTGTATCTCTGGATCAAGATGGCATTACCAGAGAAATCCATTTGGGAATGTAATAAATATATTGGATCCTCTCTCCCTTAACATTCAAGTTGACAAATCTTTGACTATATGTGCCAGTTGATGGATTAACTGGGGTGTGGCTTGGATGCTTGCATCATACCAAAAAAAAGAAAGAAAGAAAGAAAAAGAAAGAATTCTTAAAACAAGCAAATACTTTTCTCTATTTGGGCATGATGGAAACACCTGAGCATGCGATGTGCACTCCTTACTACCACATCTAGGCAGGCAGAAAAATATATTGACTCTGGGACTGGAAGTCTGTTTGTCTTTGGAGTACTGAACCTTGTTAAAAATGTGCCACAGGTGAGTTACAGTTTTAGTTGGGTTTTTTTCCTGGGTTTTTATCTTTTCCCTACAGAATGCTGTGTGCTGGCTCCCAGAGCAACATCCATTATGTGATGTAGATTTTGGGAGCAATCACTGAGAATCTTGCAATTTGATGCCAATTCCAGAGACTTCAGGGCTTTCAGAGTCGGTATATCAGAGCTGAAAGAAAGTGAAATCTCCATAAGTGCCTTCTTAAAGCTTTTACCACTGGAACCATTTGTATGTCAACACTGCGAGACTCTTGGAATCAAGGAGACTCTTGGAATCAAGAACTGATTGGTTCATTTAGGTTTCCTTGAATCAGTAGCCTTTGATTTTGTTGATGTCAAAAGCATTTTTGACGTCAGTGACTGTAGTCTTGCTTTTTCTACAAATGGTTGTTCCAAGTCAGACTTGGATGTAGCCTGATCTCAGGTTGCCTTGACTTCAGATTTATGATGTCAATCAAGGAGATTTCAAAAAAGCCTTTGATCTTGTCTGTATAGTAGAGGGTTGCTCTTAACTTGGAGCTGGACAAGGACTTTGATGCTGAGCAGGCACGTTTCTGGGTCATGTGCTGGTGAGGCTCCAGGGACTTCTGTACAAATGGCTGCTGTTTTCCATGCTGAGAAGGCTGATACTGTGTATATGGGAGACTTGGCATTGTGCCTCGATATGAGACCGTGTCCCATTTTGTGCACCCTCTGCATACCAGGGTATGGTGAAGGAAACAGCCATTCTGCATCCACATAATATTGATGCAGGGCAACATAAAATAAGGGCGTGGGTAGAAATTCTCCCCTGTTGGCACATGCCTAAATGGAACTAGAGTTGGCATATTTAGTTGAGACCCTGACACCAATGGGTGTTGTGCCTCTGAATCCGATGACAATGATTGGGAGCAGGCTGCAACATTTTGCTTACTGGCTTGTTGTCTCCAGGAATGCTTCTTATTCTTTGGGGTCTGCGTGGATACAGGCTCACATTCTGACAACTGAGTCAAAGGATTCCAAGCTGGCAAGTATGTTAGAAGTGGAGAGATGCTGGGAAAGTGATGTGAAGTTCTTCTTGGTGCTTCGCCTTTGAGATGGAAGGTTCTGGAGTCAGGAGGGGGGGACCACTACCAACAAAGGCTGTTTTCCTGGCTTGGATATAGTTTTTGCTTTCTTCGGTTGTGGTTTATCCAAAAGCTAAGGTGTTGGGTTTTGAATTGGATGTTGTTGAGGTCATATCTTTAGGTGGTGACTGTTGCGATATTGCTGCTGTCTGTGGAATTAAATAGTGTGTGGCACTGGCCTGCCCATTGGTCCCTGAACACCAATTTAGAACAAAATTTACAGATTGAGATGGATGGTTTTGGAATTTTCTTTGAGAAAGTGTTGATCATTTGGAGTGACCTCTCCCCAAGGAAATAATTTGAGTCTGGACTGCCTGTTCTATATGGAAAACTTCGTAAATTTTTAAAATTTAGCAGAACTGTGTCTGGTGTCCCTCTCCTAGACACTAGAGGCACTTAAATAGTGTTTGCCTGTTAGAGGGATCTTATTTTTGCAGGTGTCACACTTTTTAACAGGATCATAGATGCCATAAAAGGTCAGGAAATGAACAACAAATAGTGTATTATTTTAAAAATATGCAACAAAAAATGTGTTTGTGTCTGTGTGTGTGTTGGGGGGTTTAAATTGGTAAACAACTGGGCTAACAGGAAAAAAAAACTATTCAACAAACTTGAGGTAAGTAGACTCTAGATCAAGGGTGGGCAATTAATTTCTATAGGAGGCCACGTGAAAAATCTGAACTGTGAGCTCTGGCTCACTCAGGGGCAACGGGTGGGCCGGACAGGAGAGACAAATGGCAGGCTGGACAAGAGCAGCTCTCTGGCTGTATGTGGTCTGTGGGCTGCACTTTGCCCAGATCTGCTCTAGATCAGTGGTTCTTAACCTTTGTTACTCAAGTGTTTTTGAACTGCAACTCCCAGAAACCTCAGCCAGCAGAGCTGATGGTGAAGGCTTCTGGGAGTCGCAGTCCAAAAACATCTGAGTAACAAAGGTTAAGAACCAGTGCTCTAGATGACCAATGAAGTGCCACTTCAGCAGCAGGCAAAATGGAATTGACAATTAACTTTTGGATGAAGGAGCAAATGCTGGGTGTTAGGGTGGTGCTAAAAACTTTCTACCTCTGGAAGATTCCAAGGACATCTGTGCAGGAGCAGGGCAACCCATTACGGCGAATCAGAGAGACCATGAAGAACATACATATATCCCTACATCTTGTCTGCAGCATAGGCTATATACTTAAAATGATGTGGCTTTAGAAAACAAAGGCACATCATTATCATTATTCAATAGTTTGAATCTGCATAGTTCATTGAAGACATGGGTTGATACAGCATAGCTTCTAAGTCCCCAGTGGCCTCATTGTAAACCCTATCATGTTTCTACAACTCAGCATTTTTAAAAAAAACTTTTTGTTCAAAAAAAATCCTCTTATGCCTTGCAAATGGTGTCAGAAGCAATTCTGCAAGACTTTGGTCCTACTAGATCACAGTCTTCCTTGAAAAGTTTTGTAAATAGTTGTGCGCAGCCTTTGGCTTTTTGGAATTGTCCACATCATTCCAGGAGAATTTGATCAGTCTGCTTTCCTTGCTGAGTGGAGTTGTAAGAAATGCACAGAGTGGAGACTGAGATCCTGTATGGTATCCAACAAATTCATTATCCTCTTCTGGTTCCTGATTCAGCAAGGATTTATGATGAGTTGGTGGAGTGCTTAACAGCAGCACAAGACATACGTCTGGGGAATGAGCAGTCAACTTTTCTGAGGAATTGAGAAGTGCTGCCTTGCTATACAGAATTGGAAACACGAATTCTACTCCAGTTTCTTTTTATCGTTGTTATGGTAAAAATGAATAATCGGAAGAGCAAGGGCCTCTTGCATGCACCATTCAGAATGTGCGTTCTTATTTTATTGTTATAACTCACCATTCAAGCTGTCGATTACAGCTTATATGCTTTTTTTCCTACAGAAACCCCTCCTCTAGTGTAATAAAGGGATGCCTAAGGTTCCAGCTTAATAAGCAAATAGCAACAACCTAATTGACAGAGTTCTAGATGAACTCAGCAGAGCAATTAGGAAGCACAATCTTTTTGAGCTGATGAGAGCAGTTAGAATGGAATTCTCTGGTTCCTGTTGCCATCTGATGGTCACAGTCAGAAAGGCACAGTATCAAGACTGTACTTCATTTTCATGTGAAAGTGAAAGGAATTCAACTAGAATTGTTACTCTACATCATAGTTTCCCAGAGTGGTCTATATGAACTCCCAGGGGTTGATTTTGACTTGCAGGGCGTCCACGTCAGAGAAAAAAAATTAGGGGTGCACGAGATGTAAATAAGGGTCTATGTGAGAAGATCCCTTTAGGCAGATCATAATAAATATTTAGGGGATCTATAATTACACCAAACAGATTCTGTGTACATAATATTTCATAATGTTATTTAATTAAGTACTATGTACTATCTGCATTGTGGTGTGCTACATTCATGTATAGGTTGATAATATTAGTGGTAAAATCTTATGGTAAATGTCGGGGTGTTGTAAATGGGATTGACAACATTTAGTCATTTCTCACTACTGAGCTATACGGGCATGGTCTACGAAAAACAAGTAAGTCAGCAAGTTCTACGGGGCAAAAAAGTTTGGGAACCTATGTTCTACATCCTTCTGCATTGTGCTGCAACTCCATACTCAATAGCACTGTTTTACTACCAGTTTGTTCTGATGGGACAGTGGCTGGCATGTAAAGGCTTCCAGGAATCATGGCAAGGTACCTGCCAGTCACATGAATATCTACACTACTGGTACCCGTAACAGGAAACCATGCACATCTTTATTGAAATGAATTTTTATTTGGTTTCTTGTGACATTATCATGACTATTTTATTCTTTGTTTTCAGATTTAGAGGCATGTTTCCCCGTTAAATCATTTCTACAGTAAGACTGAAAAGATAACACTAAGGAAGACAAGAGGATGTTTTCTGCAGAGACACACAGGAACAAAGGATAAAGAAATTAAATCAGGAAGGAGGAAAGAAATAATTACAACTGGTAAGAGAAATATATGAGAACAAAAATTATATAAGACAAGTGTTAAAGCATTAAATTCTATCCTAAAGGAAGGCAGGAAAAGTAATTTAGGTCACTCTGTTGCTCCTTGTGGTAGCAGAAGATAAGCCAATATTGGAGGCCTACTCCAACCAGAGAGAGAACATCACACTCCTGTTGTAAAAATGCACAAATAAAACTACCGATGGAATTGATTTAAACAAAGCTCTTAAATTCATCATTCATTATTTAATTATTCATCATTTAATTATTTTAATAGCCAAAAAACTTTTAATCAAGTTTCAAATTTAAATCTGCTCACAGGACAAACTGTGAAATTGCAAACTTCTTTGTGACTTTCTGAAAACACATCAAGATACTAAACAAAATAACTTATTTAAAAACTATGGCAATTCTGCACTTTTCTTAGTAAGAAACTCAGTGAGACGTACTTCTGAGTAGGCACAAAATATGCTTAAATATACAGAAGGAATGTTTTGCTCTCAGGGATCACCTTTTCCTCATAAAGAAGAGGATCTCCTTTTCAAATCTGTCATGTGAAGAGAAGGGATGACACACTTACTACTCTCCCTCTCCTAACGCTTTCAAGGTCAACACTGTCCTAGATGTCTAAACTCTAAATTATGTTAGAGTGTTGAATTATCATGATACAGTTGGAACACACTCTCTGTTCCCAGTACAGTGGTGCCCTGCATAGCGTCGATAATCCATTCCGGAAAAATCGTCGCTATATGGATTTGCCGCTATGCGGAACAAAAAAGCCCGTAGAAACGCATTAAAACACGATTAATGTGTTCCTATGGGCTTCAAACTCACCGTTCAGCAAAGATCCTCCATAGCGTGGCCATTTTCGCTGCCTGTTAAGCGAGGAATCCGTCCCAGAAAACAGCGGGCGGCCATTTTGAAACCGCCGATCAGCTGTTAAAAAAGCATTGCTTTGCAATGATCGGTTCCCCACAACCGATCATGGCAAAGCACCGCCAGCCAGCCAGCCAGCCCCGGACTACGCCTGACCTCCTTGGCGGGGCTGTCCCGGGGTGCAGATGGACGGGCCGGAGGGTCTTTTTCTGGCGAGCGAGGGGTCAGAGGCAGGCAGCCGCCCAGGGCGGGAAGGGGTGTGCCACCCACCCGCTG